GGTGTTTTTATCTTGGCGCGCAGCGCGAAGATGGCAAAGAAGCTTTTGCTGAATTTGGCATCGGAACTTATGTCAAGAATTGAGACGTCCGGCCCGGACCTGGCAGGTTGCCAATTTTCTCAGGGAAGATTGCTGACGGCGGCAGAAATCGTGAGGGTTTTTTGTAATTTGTCGCCGGTCAGTGATGTAGCGTGCCGAAACTTGTGAGTTTATCTTCGCAGATGGTGTGTCCCAAAATCTCTACCTGGTGGGTCCGGAGACGGGGTCGCCAGGCGGCCTCCTGGAAGGCATGCGGGGCCCCATTTTTGGGGCCGCCTGAAGTCATTTTTTTCTTGCAGACGGCCCCAAAAGCGGGGCCGCCCAGATTCAGCTCTGGGTCGAAATTTAGCCCCAGAAGCGGGGCCCAGATTTCCCATATAGGCCAGATGACGGATGCTGAGTCCTCGTGTCGTTCCTACTTCCTCTCATTTACAATTGAGCGGTAGTCCGGCGCGACCGTAGGTTCACGTCTGGCACGGTGTCGGCTGACGATTAACGGATCGACCGTGAACCTAGGGGGACTGCGCTGGACGTCTCAAAAAATGCGTCAGTTTGGGGTGCATAAAATGGGCACGATGTCAGGTGGGATTTGTGAGATTTCGGAGGTCACTTTGCAGTGAACACGGAGAGCAACTTTTGCGCAGCTTTGCAGTTCTTAAAAGTAATTCAGGAGGCAAGAATACCCCCCACCCCATAGAATCTTAGCGTAGATGTTGCAGGATTGGTGCACGAGGGATGGTACACATGTAGCGGAGTCGTGTCTTCCCCGGTTGAAAAACCATTGTATATTTAAAACGGGCTCACCTCGACTCCGCTGCCGTTCTAAGGGGAATTCCATCTTAGAAGGATTCCGCCGACTCCGCTTACATGAACTCCACCGACTCCGCCCACATATGTAACTCGGATTCCTTTGTTTCAGTGCCTATTGCTTAAACTCAGGTGTTTCTATCTTGGCGCGCAGCGCGAAGATGGCAAAGAAGCTTTTGCTGAATTTGGCATCGGAACTTATGTCAAGAATTGAGACGTCCGGCCCGGACCTGCCAGGTTGCCAATTTGCTCAGGGAAGATTGCTGACGGCGGCAGAAATCGTGAGGGTTTTTTGTAATTTGTCGCCGGTCAGTGATGTAGCGTGCCGAAACTTGTGAGTTTATCTTCGCAGATGGTGTGTCCCAAAATCTCTACCTGGTGGGTCCGGAGACGGGGTCGCCAGGCGGCCTCCTGGAAGGCATGCGGGGCCCCATTTTTGGGGCCGCCTGAAGTCATTTTTCTCTTGCAGACGGCCCCAAAAGCGGGGCCGCCCAGATTCAGCTCTGGGTCGAAATTTAGCCCCAGAAGCGGGGCCCAGATTTCCCATATAGGCCAGATGATGGATGCTGAGTCCTCGTGTCGTTCCTACTTCCTCTCATTTACAATTGAGCGGTAGTCCGGCGCGACCGTAGGTTCACGTCTGGCACGGTGTCGGCTGACGATTAACGGATCGACCGTGAACCTAGGGGGACTGCGCTGGACGTCTCAAAAAATGCGTCAGTTTGGGGTGCATAAAATGGGCACGATGTCAGGTGGGATTTGTGAGATTTCGGAGGTCACTTTGCAGTGAACACGGAGAGCAACTTTTGCGCAGCTTTGCAGTTCTTAAAAGTAATTCAGGAGGCAAGAATACCCCCCACCCCATAGAATCTTAGCGTAGATGTTGCAGGATTGGTGCACGAGGGATGGTACACATGTAGCGGAGTCGTGTCTTCCCCGGTTTAAAAACCATTGTATATTTAAAACGGGCTCACCTCGACTCCGCTGCCGTTCTAAGGGGAATTCCATCTTAGAAGGATTCCGCCGACTCCGCTTACATGAACTCCACCGACTCCGCCCACATATGTAACTCGGATTCCTTTGTTTCAGTGCCTATTGCTTGAACTCAGGTGTTTCTATCTTGGCGCGCAGCGCGAAGATGGCAAAGAAGCTTTTGCTGAATTTGGCATCGGAACTTATGTCAAGAATTGAGACGTCGTATCATGTACTTGTTCATGTATGTTTTATAAACTATGTTCGTGCGTCATTTTGGCTCTAGAGTGGTGCTTGCTAGCGAGAAAGTCAAGTTTCTTCCATGGCATGCTTTCTTTTTGGGATGTCTTCTTATCCATGTTTTTCTCAAAGTGCTTGGTTCGTGTTTCGGCAACCTTTGCATTCAGCCTATTTTTCATTTTGAAGATGCTCCAGGGGTGAGCGGGCTCACTCCAAAGTGAGTGCATGGAAGCATCGTGTGCTGGGCTTGACGCCTCTTCATATCAGTTGCAGCTTCGAGTTCACGAGTTGCAGAGCCAGTTGGAAGCCCTTCATACACACATTGCAGTCTTAGAAGAGCGTTTGCATCGTATCGAGCAGGAAGATCAGAGGGTCCGTCGGGATCTGCGCGGCCATACTGGCACCACTAGCATCGGCTGCCTTTCGGTTCGGCTCTTGCACCTTGAGAGTTGCTTCAGCTTTCTTGTGCGTGCAGTTCAGACCAGCTTCCCAAGGCCTCCAGGTTTTTGGCAAAGCTTGATTGAAGACTAGAGGGTTGCAGGATGAAACGCCCGACGGATCCTGATGATAAGCACTTCAGTAAAGCAAAGAGCAAGTGTGCACCACCACCCCTGGGGGGGCTTGCGCTACCAGTTGACAAACCTAAAGGAACCGCTCCCCCTCTGCCGGCGGCAGGTCTTGCCCAACCTTTGTACTCCCAGGGACGACGCATTGAGCCAGTTCCACGTGCCGGGCAACCTCTGCCCGTTCCTGTTGCAGCATCTAGCAGGAGCAATTGTGATTCCGATGCTGAAGAAGAATCAGCCAGACACTTTGCCAGGTTTCGGCAGTCCTTCGCAGAATCCAACCAACAGCAGCAAAGTACTTCATCGTTTCTCTTGAAAGCTGCCCCGAAGCGAAAGCCAGCAAAGGCGGCCGATCCCCACCATCCCAAGTTCCAGCAGATTGCAGGTTTCTCCCAGATGGCCTTGTCACTGTTTTGGGGTGTGCTTGTTTTTATGGGTGATTGTAGTGGATTGTTCAAGCAGATTCAGTGCTCCGAATTTGCCAGTCATCACACCTCGCGAATTCTTTCCGGGTATGCCACGAACACGGTGCTCCGTTACCTGGCAGCTTGGTCACACTTTGTGGCGAACCTTGAAGGGCTAGGCCTCTGTTTTGGCAATCTTGATAGTGTTATGATGGCAGACATACTAGTCACCATGTCCCTTGAGAAGCATGGAGACCCTACTCTGGGTTCAAGCTGTTGCATGACAATCAAAGCACTTCGTTGGCTATGCAAAGTCGCAGAATGTACAATCTTATCGTGCGCGTATGAAAAAGTGATTGATTCTTTTCTGAAGTCAAAAATTCCTCGTGAACGCCGTGAGAGTTTCCCACTACCCACTTGGGTGCTCCAGCTGTGGGAAAGGCGCATCTTGATGAAGCAGGCATCATTCCTTGAAGTGGTTGTGCTTGGTGGTTTTTTGGTTGCTGCCTGGGGTTCATTGCGATTTGCAGATCTTCAACGTGTGGAGTGGAGTTCATTATCTTTTGACTTACATGTCCTTCGTGGTACGTGTTATGCGACCAAAACATGTCACACCGGGCAGCCCTGGGGCATCCTTGCGTCAGGTATTCTGTCTCGCGGGACGCATTCTTGGGTTAGCAAATACCTGCATGCCCTTGACAGGCTGGCTACAATGCATGTTCGAAACCACCCAGATTCGTGGCTTCCATCGTTCTTGCTTCCAGCAGTGCAAGGCGACAGCTTCATGTTGCCCCTGCAAGCTATGAGCTATGCTGAGGCGCTGAGGTGGTTGAGGCATTTTCTCCTCATGCCTTGGGCGTCCGCACCACCAGAGGTACCGCCCCTCAATTTCACAGTGCACAGTCTCAAAGCCACTATGCTTTCCATGTCCCTTCAAGTCAATGTTGATGAGGTTGATAGGAAACGTCAAGGGCACCACCGCATAAGCAGCTCCGCTCTTTATTCCCGTGATGATGTTCATGGCATGCTTCGGTGCCAATCTTGCATTCGTGATAGCATCCGCACAGGCTTCCGTTTTTTGGTCCCCCAGCACAGAGGAGGGCAGCAGCCCTTGACACCAGCGTACATCCCGCCGGAAGCTTTCTCTAAGGACTACGAGTTTGAACCCTTCCAGTGGTTCTCGTTTCAACTTGATGGCAGTGACGATTTGCTTCAAAGCAGTAATGGGAGTTGGGAGGTCGCAGAAAATCAAATAGTCACCCCTGATCCAGATATAGAGGCGCTGGACAAAGATCTCGTGTACCACTCCGACCCAGGATCTTCAGATGAGAGCGAGGAGGAACCTTCGGCACCCCCGGCCGAAGAGCACGACTTAGGTGAGCCTGAGGAATTCTTGCTGGGCTCCTGCACCGCGGTGCTGCATGTGCTCTGCCCTTCAGATGCGTTGTCAGGCACTCTTGTCAATGGGACATATATGCGTGCAAAGTGTGGTGCCACTCTTCCGGCCGATCGGCTCATGATCCACACGTCAGTGCCATCTTCGTGTCGGTTGTGCAGACGCAGTGCATGCTTGGCAGCTTTATCTTGTTGTTCCGAGGAGTGAGCTGGAATGTTCGTGTCAGAAAAGTGTGGTTGTTGTTTTGCGTATGCATCAATGAAACAGCAGGCTGTCATGTTGCACATGTCCACCAAAGGTTAGATTGTTGCTATGATCTTGACATGCTTTTGGTGTTTCTGCAGGCAGGCGCTCGATTGGGCTAGCAAATCCCCAAGGAAAGATCTTTAGGAGTGTGGCGTCTTGCAAGAGTTTCACGTGGTATTCAGAAGACGCCCTGGAAGTTCCGTACATGTCAGATTCGTTGCTTAGCATGCTCATCTAGCTCACGAGAACAAAGCTCTGTCTTCCTATCTAAGAATCACATATTGGTCTAGCGCTAAACACCAACATTAGCCCTGCGGTGTCTTGCATGTAATGGCTGATTCCGAGTTGGAGAGTGCACTGGCGAAGGAAGGCTTGGCAGCAGAGGTCATCAAAGTGGCCACGGAAGGGGGCTGGACAGCCTCGGCGTTCAAACACGTTGTTGAAACTCAGGCAGAAGTTGAGGGAGCCATCCCCGAGATCTTCCCAGGTCAGATTTTGTCTCGGTTGCAGATAGCCCAGATCAAAGCAGCGTGGGCGGGCATGCAAACATCCAGTTCCTCTAGTGCTCTACCGGCCCCTGTCAACGCAGATCCTACTTTGGAGACATGGGTAGAGAGTTTTGCTCCCAAAATTGCATCCACGAAGCTGTCCGATATGAAGCGCCAATTCCTTGCAAATTACCCAAGTGAGGTCTTGAATCCATCTACTCTACCCTCTTTGAGGCTGATTTCCCTCGCAGCTCATCAAGAGGCACGTTCGGAGTATAAATGGATAGCTTGGAAACATCGCATGACGGAAGAGAAAGCTTCGGAGTTGTTAATTGCCAGACCCCACAAACAGCCCAAGCTCGAAATGCTGGGTCTTTCCAGCTTGCTCCTTGATGATCCGCCTACAATCGAAGTGACCGATGCCAATATGGGGATCAGTGGCATCCAGCGAATCTTGGCAGTGCATGACGTTGCGTTGGCCATGGTTGGCTCAGCTCACCTTGCCCGCCTTAAAGCCTACAGCTGCAAGTTCGTCCAGCTTGTGTCCCAGCGTTTCGACCCAACATCAGGCCTGCGTGCACCGACAATCCTAGAAGCGCAACAGGCAGATTGTCGGATTTGGCAGAGCATCCATTCTTTAGTCAGTGAGAAAGCTTGGAGCTTGAATGACGCGTTGCATGAGTTCACTGAAATCAGAGGTGAGCTTAGCACCTTGCTGCAGGCTCGTCCGAAAGCCTTGTTCATCCCCCGCGGCCCCGATCTCAAAGGCAAGGGGAAGCAGGTCGGCCAATGGAAAGGCCTCGGCAAGGGCCAGGGCCGGGGCAAGGAAAAGGGCGGTAAGCCCAAGGGCGCTCCAGGGAGACACATCACCTTCGTGAAAGAGATCCAAGTGGGATCTGAGAAGAAAGGGCTGTGTGTCCAGTGGCAGATTGGCCGCTGCACAAGGGGAGGCTCCTGCCCCTTTGTTCATGCATGTGCATACCCCAAGCAGGATGGATCAGCGTGTGGGAGCAAGTCGCACACAGCCTCTCAGCATGAACAGACGCCTCACTGATTCGAACCTACCCTTGTGCCGTGGCAAAGAATCCCGAATTCAGATTTGCAGTCTACAGAGGTATCACCCCCAGATGCCCCGCATCCTTTGCAATCTCACACTGAGCCAGTTCAGTCACACCCTTTGTCGCCTTGTATGTCAGTATCACCTCAACAGCCTCTTTCAGCAAAGCACCAGGCAGGTGCAAATCGTGTTGCTGGGTATGATATCCAGCCGGCAGCTCGGCCAGCCGAGCCTGTAAATGTGCTTCCGAAATCGGTCTCCTTGTTGGAGACAAATGCTGGGCCTGTGTCGTCGCCAGCAGTGCAATGTCCTCAGGGCAACATCCCTTCACAACCCGTGTTGGGTGATGTCACGTGCAACATGCCTGGTCGTTCCAGTAATGAGGTAACACCCGGGCAGGTGGGTGTTACACATGTTGCAGAAGAAGGTTCCTCATGCATACATGACTTTAAGTCCTGTCTTCAGGCATTACTTTCTGCCTCTTGGCCTCCACGCGTGCTTCCTGCCAGGAGCGTTACTTCAGCGGCTCCGGGGGAATCGGGATACTGGAACTTTGGGGTGCGCCTAGGGAATCCTTCGGCCCGTTCATCAGTTACGGATGCACTCCCACAACTGTGTGCAAGCCTTAATGGGTTCTTGTGCCAACTGTTCCCAGGTGAGACTTGGAATGCCTTGTGTGTCAGCAGGAACATTTTGACGTCCCCGCACAAGGACACAGCAAATTTGCCGGGGTCGTCAAATTTGACAGTGGGGATAGGTTCGTACTCGGATGGAGGCCTTTGGGTCGAGGACCAAGCAGGCACTGTACAGCAGTTCATCCCCAAGCTTGGGGTGACTCTCCCGGGCAAGATCGTCACAACGCATCATGCGCCGTTTAAGTTCCCCGTGCACCTTTGGCACTGCACCCAACCGTGGCTTGGCGATCGATGGGTGCTGACTGCCTTTACCCTCCCAGGCGTGTCAGGTGATACACTCAAGGGTTTGGGATTCCCTTGGCCCCAGCCACGAACCAAGCCCCCAGCTCCGGTTACTACACCCGAACCCTGCCCCCCTTCTCAGCAGGCAGTTCCTAGCTTGGAGGTTAATTGGGGAAAGCCTTCTCCAAAGGGGTTTGCTCACCACCGCTTGATCTTGCAGCCCCAAATACCTCGCCCACCACCATCCTCGCCTGCCATAGTTCAGTCAGCGCTACAGCAGTCTTCAAGGATCTTCCTGGACATTTGTTCGGGCGCAGAGAAGCCTCTATCTTCAGCGGTGCAGGAGTTAGGCTTCCCAACACTTGCAGTTGATATCCTGTTGGATAGCAGCATGGACATTCTCGATAATACTTTTTTCGAGCAGCTCTTGTTCATCTGTGGCTCAGGTGTTGTGGGGTATTGTGCGGCATCCCCTTGCTGTTCGGAATACTCCCGCCTGAAACTCTTTGGAGGTCCGCCCTTTGCCATCCGCACACCAACCCAGCTAGGGGGCCTGGAGAACCTATCCCCATCAGCCCAGGCTCGTATACAAACAAGTCACGAGATGCTTTTCAGGGCGTGCAAATGTCTTCAAATCGTCCATGGGGCCGGGGGCCATGGCCATTTGGAGCAACCTTCAGGTGCTATGTCCTGGGAAGAATCGTGCGTTCAAGGCTGGTTGCACTGTGGGTCTACAGCCCTCATTGTCCTCCCGGCCTGTGCTTTTGGGGAGAACTGGGCAAAAACTTGGCTGTTTGCATCGAGCTTTCAAGCCCTGTCCGTGATGGGGCAAACGTGTCAACACGGACGCAATGCACATGAGTCCGTGCAGGGACGTGAGAGTGATGGTTCGTTCAAAAGTCGTAAGACCGCTAAGTACCCCCAATGCCTGGCTGAAGAATTCGCGTTGCACATCAGGCCGCTTCTTGCAGGTGCACAGATAGAACACACTCTTGCCACCGCGTCAGCTTTAGTACCTGTCAAGGCCCTGGATGTTGGACCGTGGGTAATCCACGATGGGGCAGGTCGCCACTCTTGTGGGGATTGGAGCACCCCATTGTGCCAGGATAAGCTCAAAAATCTTCGGACATACCTTCTGGGGAAAGTTTGTGACATGCAGGGCCCCAAACGCCTGCTTGCTAAAGCCACTTGGCCCAATCCTGAACCCCTCTTCACCGCTTCGGAGGTGCAAGATGCGCGCAAAGACTTCTTCTCCTGCTTAGGTGTGGCAACAGATGCAAATACATGGAAGGTCCGTGAGCATCAACCCTTGCATCTGCATGCGCTTGAGGCACTTGCCTGTTTTTGTGGTGATCCAGATGTGAGTCTTTGCAAATCCCTGTTGCAAGGCGTCCCCACGGGGTACAACAACGATATCCCAGTGTCAAATTGTTTTTGGCCGAATCAAAAAGAGAACCTTGAGGATGTATCATTGTCCATCCACATGCAGAATTGGCGCTCGGCCTCAGTGGATTTGTCCGTGACCCAAGCCTTGCTGCAGGAGGAGTTAGATCAGGGTTTTTGCTTCAAGTTTGATGGCGACATTGAGGCAGCTAAGGCAAAGTGGCCGGGTACACTGGCAATAGGAAAGCTCTCCGTGGTCCGTGCGCCCAATCGTTCTGAGAGGTTGGTCTTAGATAATTCAGTGTGTGGCACGAATGCAAGTTGCAGTGTTCCAGAAGTCCAGCATATGCCATCAGTTAGGGACGTGATGCACTGTTTCCCCCTTCGGGGCACCCGCTCGCGGCAAGCTGCCATTTCTCTTGATGTCAAAAGTGCTCACAAAAGGTGTGTTGTCAAGGAGTCCGAGCAGGGTCTCCTAGGTTTCGCTTTCGCAGATTCTCTGTACTTCTATCGCGTGGCCCCATTCGGGGCGGTCTTTGCACAGCATTGGTGGGGGCGCTTAGGCTCCTGCCTGCTTAGGTTGTTGCACATCTTGATTTGGTTCAGCCATGCAGGCCACTTGTTTGTGGACGACTACTTATTCTCTCAGGCGGAAGCCGTCTTGCCAGCAACAGGGGCGATGATCTGCCTCTTCTTTCAGATTCTGGGGGTACCTTTGAGTTGGAAGAAACTTCAGGTTAGTTCTCGAGTTCAATGGATAGGGTGGTGTTTCTGTTACACCTCCGGGGTAGTGTCGCTTGCAGAGGAAAAAAGGTTAAAACTTTTGGGGATGGTTCAAGATCTTCAGCGTAATCCAAAAATTTCCCGTAAGGATTTGGAGAGGTTTGTCGGGCTTGCTCTTTGGGCGGCACACCTTTTCCCGACAATGAAGTCGCTTCTGTACACCTTCTATCATGATCTTTTCAGCCCGGCTGCTACCAACTACTCGGTGGCCCCAGATGTTTGGCCACAGCTTCGTCACCACTTGACGGATTCCCTGCAATTCAAATCGGTTCCTCCAGGTACAGCAATTCCGCTCCACAGTACACTTTTGTCAGTCCGACATCAGGATTTGTCATCTTTGGCTGACTTGGATCGCGTGCGCATTACAGACAGGCGGGTTTGGATGCGCGTCTCAAGTCAGTCCAGTTCGAAGAGAAAGTTGAGCACCGAATCAGTGCGCATTTTGGGTTTGTTCGAACATTGGCTTTTGCATATGTGCCCATTCTGCAGCATGCGCCCCTTATGCAATGCATCCTTTGAGGCAAGAGCAGATGCAAGTGCACATGGCTCGGTGTGCTGCATTGGTGGGTACGTTTCTCACCCCATGATAGGCCAGCGTTGGTTTCGAGAAAGCTTTTCCTACAGTGCCTTCCGGGCCCTTGAGATTCCAGTGCAAGCAGACATGCAGCTTGATATTGCTTGCTATGAAGCGCTCGCCCAGGGAGCGCTGATCTTGGCAACATCTTCTCTTTTACCTTGCGCCAGAATCCCCTTGCAGCTACGTTCCGCATCAGACAACACAGGTGCAGAGGCAGGTGTGAACGCTTCCTTCTCCACCGCTCGGCCTCTCTGTTTTTTCCTGGAAAGGATTTCTTTGCTGGCAGCTGTACATAGAACAACGCTGGATGTGTCACACATTTCCGGGGAACGCAATGTCAAGGCTGATGCCTTGTCTCGTCCTGCTGAATATGAAGTTTCTCCTGACTGCCTGGAAAAGGATAGAGTGCGGCTGTCACTCGAGGCCCTTTGGTTGCCTCGTCCAAACATTTCGGTTTTCCCCGAAGGGGCTCACCTTCCATGGTCTGTGCGGAGCAGGGGAGTGCCGAACAACCTCACTTAGGTTTGGGGTTTTCTCCGGGGCGAGGTTGCTGGGTAGTTTAATTTGGGGTAACTTGGTCCCACCCATCAACCTGTTGTGTGCATCGTTAGCTGTTTCCTCGAGTGGATGTTGGTGAGGATTTCCGGCACTCCAGAGAAAACAAAGCGTGGAGCGAAGCTCGTAGCCTTTTGAAGCCTCCGGCTATACCGCTAGCAAGCACGACTAGTTTATAGAACGTATCATGTACTTGTTCATGTATGTTTTATAAACTATGTTCGTGCGTCATTTTGGCTCTAGAGTGGTGCTTGCTAGCGAGAAAGTCAAGTTTCCTCACCCACCCACCCCAATTTTTGGGGTTCTCTGTCTCACTGGCACTGGCCTGAAGAACAATCAAGACCTCGTTACAAGAAAGTGGGCTCTCGGGGCGGGCCGTAGCACAGTACCTGTATTGCAGGTAGTCTCACTTGTATGCATCTCTTTTGGAGAAAGCCCATCTGGGCTTCTGGGTTCACACTTGCACAGTCATGTTTCTTGTATGGGCGGCTGAAAAAGCTGTCTGGTGTCAGTTTTCTCCGTACAGGCCATATCTTGCTTTGCAGTTTGCTGCGAATGACCGGGGCGAAACTGTGTTAACCTTAGTGTTTTTCACCTACCTTTTCTCGTGTAGTCAAAGTGTTGCTTCGGTCTGTCATGGGTGGGGTAACTTGGTCCCACCCATCAACCTGTTGTGTGCATCGTTAGCTGTTTCCTCGAGTGGACGTTGGTGAGGATTTCCGGCACTCCAGAGAAAACAAAGCGTGGAGCGAAGCTCGTAGCCTTTTGAAGCCTCCGGCTATACCGCTAGCAAGCACAACTAGTTTATAGAACCGGCCCGGACCTGCCAGGTTGCCAATTTGCTCAGGGAAGATTGCTGACGGCGGCAGAAATCGTGAGGGTTTTTTGTAATTTGTCGCCGGTCAGTGATGTAGCGTGCCGAAACTTGTGAGTTTATCTTCGCAGATGGTGTGTCCCAAAATCTCTACCTGGTGGGTCCGGAGACGGGGTCGCCAGGCGGCCTCCTGGAGGGCATGCGGGGCCCCATTTTTGGGGCCGCCTGAAGTCATTTTTCTCTTGCAGACGGCCCCAAAAGCGGGGCCGCCCAGATTCAGCTCTGGGTCGAAATTTAGCCCCAGAAGCGGGGCCCAGATTTCCCATATAGGCCAGATGACGGATGCTGAGTCCTCGTGTCGTTCCTACTTCCTCTCATTTACAATTGAGCGGTAGTCCGGCGCGACCGTAGGTTCACGTCTGGCACGGTGTCGGCTGACGATTAACGGATCGACCGTGAACCTAGGGGGACTGCGCTGGACGTCTCAAAAAATGCGTCAGTTTGGGGTGCATAAAATGGGCACGATGTCAGGTGGGATTTGTGAGATTTCGGAGGTCACTTTGCAGTGAACACGGAGAGCAACTTTTGCGCAGCTTTGCAGTTCTTAAAAGTAATTCAGGAGGCAAGAATACCCCCCACCCCATAGAATCTTAGCGTAGATGTTGCAGGATTGGTGCACGAGGGATGGTACACATGTAGCGGAGTCGTGTCTTCCCCGGTTTAAAAACCATTGTATATTTAAAACGGGCTCACCTCGACTCCGCTGCCGTTCTAAGGGGAATTCCATCTTAGAAGGATTCCGCCGACTCCGCTTACATGAACTCCACCGACTCCGCCCACATATGTAACTCGGATTCCTTTGTTTCAGTGCCTATTGCTTAAACTCAGGTGTTTCTATCTTGGCGCGCAGCGCGAAGATGGCAAAGAAGCTTTTGCTGAATTTGGCATCGGAACTTATGTCAAGAATTGAGACGTCCGGCCCGGACCTACCAGGTTGCCAATTTGCTCAGGGAAGATTGCTGACGGCGGCAGAAATCGTGAGGG